CTGCACAACATCAACAGCACATGCTAGGCTGCACAACATCAACAGCACATGCTAGGCTGCACAACATCAACAGCACATGCTAGGCTGCACAACATCAACAGAACATGCTAGGCTGCACATCAACAGCACATGCTAGGCCGCACAACATCAACAGCACATGCTAGGCTGCACAACATCAACAGCACATGCTAGGCTGCACAACATCAACAGAACATGCTAGGCTGCACATCAACAGCACATGCTAGGCTGCACAACATCAACAGCACATGCTAGGCTGCACAACATCAACAACACATGCTAGGCTGCACAACATCAACAACACATGCTAGGCTGCACAACATCAACAACACATGCTAGGCTGCACAACATCAACAACACATGCTAGGCTGCACAACATAAGTCCTGCACTTAGCACGGGTCACTTAGCACGGGTCACTTAGCACGGGTCACTTAGCACGGGTCACTTAGCACGGGTCACTTAGAGTCACTGCGGGTCACTTAGCACGGGTCACTTAGCACGGGTCACTTAGCACGGGTCACTTAGCACGGGTCACTTAGCACGGGTCACTTACTTAGCACGGGTCACTTAGCACGGGTCACTTAGCACGGGTCACTTAGCACGGGTCACTTAGCACGGGTCACTTAGCACGGGTCACTTAGCACGGGTCACTTAGCACGGGTCACTTAGCACGGGTCCCAGGCCACAGAAGCCATATAGAATATAAAGATAAACTACCTTCATGTTACTATGATAGTTTTTTGACATTTTACTCAAAGTCAATTTCTAAACGCTTAGAATCTTTTCATATACCATTTTCTTTAAGTCTGGGTTAATTTAGGGTAGTTAGCATGAAAGTATAAAAACATTTGTTTAATAAAAAATAAGTAAATTAAAATACTGGCTGTGATATGAGTAGCTGAAAAGAAAAACATTCAACGCTGGGCATATTTCCTTGCACCTGCTGTCCTCGTTCACCCAGCAAGTAGGTGCCTGAGTGTTAGCCGACTGGTTTGGGTCGCATCCTGGGGGCAAGACTGAAGGACCCAAGTGGAAATAAGACAGACAGTCCTCGATGACGCACTGACTCTCTTGGGTTGTCCTGGGTGGCTAACCCTCCGGGTTAAAAAATCTGAATAAATCTTAACGTGCTTGTCCTCGGGGCCAGACAAGTGTTTATTCTTCTCTCGGCCTCAACCTTCAAGGTAAACCTGAGGGTGACACAATACTGTCACTAAGCTTCTCCCAGGCTGACAGGAACCAAGGTTACTGCCACTAAGCTTCTTCCAGGCTGACAGGAATCAAGGTTACTGCCACTAAGCTTCTCCCAGGCTGACAGGAATCAAGGTTACTGGCACTAAGCTTCTCCCAGGCTGACAGGAACCAAGGTTACTGCCATTAAGCTTCTCCCAGGCTGACAGGAACCAAGGTTACTGCCACTAAGCTTCTCCCAGGCTGACAGGAACCAAGGTTACTGCCACTAAGCTTCTTCCAGGCTGACAGGAATCAAGGTTACTGCCACTAAGCTTCTTCCAGGCTGACAGGAATCAAGGTTACTGCCACTAAGCTTCTCCCAGGCTGACAGGAACCAAGGTTACTGCCATTAAGCTTCTCCCAGGCTGACAGGAACCAAGGTTACTGCCACTAAGCTTCTCCCAGGCTGACAGGAACCAAGGTTACTGCCACTAAGCTTCTCCCAGGCTGACAGGAATCAAGGTTACTGCCACTAAGCTTCTTCCAGGCTGACAGGAATCAAGGTTACTGCCACTAAGCTTCTCCCAAGCTGACAGGAATCAAGGTTACTGCCACTAAGCTTCTCCCAGGCTGACAGGAACCAAGGTTACTGCCATTAAGCTTCTCCCAGGCTGACAGGAACCAAGTTTACTGTCACTAAGCTTCTCCCAGGCTGACAGGAACCACGGTTACTGCCACTAAGCTTCTCCCAGGCTGACAGGAACCAAGGTTACTGCCACTAAGCTTCTCCCAGGCTGACAGGAATCAAGGTTACTGCCACTAAGCTTCTCCCAAGCTGACAGGAATCAAGGTTACTGCCACTAAGCTTCTTCCAGGCTGACAGAAATCAAGGTTACTGCCACTAAGCTTCTCCCAGGCTGACAGGAATCAAGGTTACTGCCACTAAGCTTCTCCCAGGCTGACAGGAACCAAGGTTACTCCCACTAAGCTTCTCCCAGGCTGACAGGAATCAAGGTTACTGCCACTAAGCTTCTCCCAGGCTGACAGGAACCAAGTTTACTGTCACTAAACTTCTTCTAGGCTGACAGGAATCAAGGTTACTGCCACTAAGCTTCTTCCAGGCTGACAAGAATCAAGGTTACTGCCACTAAGCTTCTTCCAGGCTGACAGGAATCAAGGTTACTGCCACTAAGTTTCTTTCAGGCTGACAAGAATCATGGTTACTGCCACTAAGCTTCTCCCAGGCTGACAGGACCCACGGTTACTGCCACTAAGCTTCTCCCAGGCTGACAGGAACCAAGTTTACTGTCACTAAGCTTCTTCCAGGCTGACAAGAATCAAGGTTACTGCCACTAAGCTTCTCCCAGTCTGACAGGACCCACGGTTACTGCAACTAAGCTTCTCCCAGGCTGACAGGAACCAAGGTTACTGCTACTAAGCTTCTCCCAGGCTGACAGGAACCAAGTTTACTGTCACTAAGCTTCTCCCAGGCTGACAGGAACCACGGTTACTGCCACTAAGCTTCTCCCAGGCTGACAGGAACCAAGTTTACTCTCACTAAGCTTCTTCCAGGCTGACAGGAATCAAGGTTATTGCCACTAAGCTTCTCCCAGGCTGACAGGAATCAAGGTTACTGCCACTAAGCTTCTTCCAGGCTGACAAGAATCAAGGTTACTGCCACTAAGCTTCTCCCAGGCTGACAGGACCTACGGTTACTGCCACTAAGCTTCTTCCAGGCTGACAGGAACCAAGGTTACTGCTACTAAGCTTCTCCCAGGCTGACAGGAACCAAGTTTACTGTCACTAAGCTTCTTCCAGGCTGACAGGAACCAAGTTTACTGTCACTAACCTTCTCCCAGGCTGACAGGAACCACGGTTACTGCCTCTAAGCTTCTCCCAGGCTGACAGGAACCAAGTTTACTGTCACTAAGCTTCTTCCAGGCTGACAGGAACCAAGGTTACTGCCACTAAGCTTCCAGGCTGACAGGAATCAAGGTTACTGCCACTAAGCTTCTCCCAGGCTGACAGGAACCAAGGTTACTGCCACTGAGCTTCTCCCAGGCTGACAGAAACCAAGGTTACTGCCACTAAGCTTCTCCCAGGCTGACAGGACCCACGGTTACTGCCACTAAGCTTCTCCCTGGCTAACAGGAACCAAGGTTACTGCCACTGAGCTTCTCCCAGGCTGACAGAAACCAAGGTTACTGCCACTAAGCTTCTCCCAGGCTGACAGGACCCACGGTTACTGCCACTAAGCTTCTCCCAGGCTGACAGAAACCAAGGTTACTGCTACTAAGCTTCTCCCAGGCTGACAGGAACCAAGTTTACTGTCACTAAGCTTCTTCCAGGCTGACAGGAACCAAGTTTACTGTCATTAAGCTTCTCCCGGACTGAAAGGAACCACGGTTACTGCCACTAAGCTTCTCTCAGGCTGACAGGAACCAAGTTAACTGTCACTAAGCTTCTTCCAGGCTGACAGGAATCAAGGTTATTGCCACTAAGCTTCTCCCAGGCAGACGGAAACCAAGGTTACTGCCACTAAGCTTCTCCCAGGCTGACAGAAACCAAGGTTACTGCCACTAAGCTTCTTCCAGTCTAACAGGAACCAAGGTTACTGCCACTAAGCTTCCAGGCTGACAGGAATCAAGGTTATTGCCACTAAGCTTCTCCCAGGCTGACAGTAACCAAGGTTACTGCCACTAAGCTTCCAGGCTGACAGTAACCAAGGTTACTGCCACTAGGCTTCTTCCAGGCTGACAGGAACCAAGGTTACTGCCACTAAGCTTCCAGGCTGACAGGAATAAAGGTTACTGCCACTAAGCTTCCAAGCTGACAGGAATCAACGTTACTGCCACTAAGCTTCTCCCAAGCTGACAGGAACCAAGGTTACTGCCACTAAGCTTCTCCCAGCCTGACAGAAACCAAGGTTACTGCCACTAAGCTTCTCCCAGGCTGACAGAAACCAAGGTTACTGTCACTATGCTTCTCCCAGGCTGACAGAAACCAAGGTTATTGTCACTAAGCTTCTCCCAGGCTGACAGAAACCTAGGTCACTGTCACTAAGCTTCTCCAAGGCTGACAGAAACCAAGGTTACTGTCACTAAGCTTCTCCCAGGCTGACAGGAACCAAGGTTACTGCCACTAAGCTTCTTCTAGGCTGACAGGAATGAAAGTTACTACCACTAAGCTTCTCCCACGCTGACAGGTACCAGGGTTACTGCCACTAAGCTTTTCCCAGGCTGACAGGAAGCAAGGCTGCATGCAGCAGTACAAGCAACACTATCTTATCACCTCAACATGAATTAATTAACATTTGCATCAACGCTACTGATATATTGTATTGCAAAAGTCTTTATTTATAGAACAGCTACAACGGTAATGTAATACCATTATGTTTTTAAATATTGATATTTATTATTTAAAAAAATATTTTTTATATAAATTAATAAATTGTAGGATTTCGTTATGTACAATGTGACACAATCATAGCTCTGAAAACACCGTAAGTGTGTGATCAGCTGGAGGTTCTGTTGCTAGTGCTCTCTTAGTACGCCCGGGGTGAGTGGAATCATAGAGCACAGTTACTAGGCTTCATTACAGCTGTGAGTCAGGAGCCCTGGAAGCCTGTCTCGTCTCAGCTGGTAAGAGCAGGCTACCTCAGCTCGTCTCAGCCAGTAAGAAGAGTAGGCAACCTCAGCTCGTCTCAATCAGTAAGAGCAGGCAACCTCATCTCAACCCGCGGATAAACTTGTCCGTGGCGTCACCGTCGGTAATGATTTATATGTGCTGACTGGCGAGGCTGTTATACATGAGGCAGCCCTTACTGGCGCGCCTGGGCATCGAACCTCTCACCTGGCGGCGCCAGGTGGTGCTAATGATATGCGGTCATGTGTATGCATTAACAGTGAGAGGCGCTTGCATGACAGTGGACGTCTTGGCCCCCCTCACGTCACACAGGAAAACCCCTCACATTGTGTGTGTTATGTAGCATAGCTTCATATCTTTCCTTAGTTAACCTCTGAGAAACGTTGATAGGTATGGATCTATATTTGTTATACGTGTTTTGTTCATGATTCCAGTGAATTTCTTGTGTGGGTTGGTTATTGTGTCAATTTGAAGAAGTTTTATAATACTTATAAGATGATATATTACTTTAGAAGATGATATATGAAGATAGTTGATGAAATATAACAGGGGAAACGCACATAGATTATATTCCTTTATTTATCTATCATAATTATAGATTATATTCATATGCCCAGTTTTATTTATTAAAAGAACAGGGGGGGGCTAATACCAGTACAATAGCAAGCTTTTGTTTGGCACTGTGCAGGTGTTATGTGGAGTAGGGTAGCAGCACACTGCTGGTGTGCCAATCTTTGTTAATACACGTACTAATACCGGTACCATTATTGCAGGGTTCGGCTGACTCAAACTACTCCCAGCCGTCATCAGATCTCTCACTGGACGAGGAGAGAGAGAACTTAAGGAGGGAGACAGAGAGACAGGCTCTCTCACAGCTTGATAAGGCCAGGGTGAGATTCTGCTTCTAACACGCCTTTGAGTGCGTGGGTGGGTGTGTGAATTTGGGCTGGATGTGTGGGCGTGAGAGCGGGTGGGTGAGTGAGCTTGGGTGGGATGTGTGGGTGGGGTCCGGGGGCATGAATCTGGGGTTGAGTGCAATGTGTGGATATGATTGAGATGTGTGGGTGGTGTTTGAGTTGGGTTGGCGGGGTGTGTGTGGGCGTAATGTGTGGGTGTGGGCGTGATGCCAAGGTGTGAGAGATGTGTGGTGTAGGTTCGTTGCCTGGGTGTGTGGGAAATGTGGGTAAATTATAGGTATGTAGGTGTGTTTGTGGCCTTGAGGCCATAGGTGGTGGGTGGAAGTATCAGTATTGATATGTGCGGATATGTGGATATACTGATACGTGGGACATGTTACGCGAGTCATGCATAAATGAAGATGTTTGGAGCGTGTGTGTGTGTGTGTGTGTGTGTGTGTGTGTGTGTGTGTGTGTGTGTGAGGTGCAGTAGTATGGATGGTAGCTTCACAGTAGTTCCTTTCCCTTGACCACTAACCTGACCTTCACTTGGGTCATCAACAGGTGGCGCTAACACCATCACTTCACCATGTTAACCTCATTAACAGCTGTGTGTAGACGTAGTCTGGCACTAAATTATTACTACAAAATGATGACAGTTCAGTCGTTGATCTCTGCCACAGAGTCAGAAGATAACTTGAAGAAGACATCATAAGTTGTCTAAGGAGGACATAAGTTGATTGTCCTAAAAAGATGTCAGACACAGCACCATTCTGCTGAGGTTTATTAAAAGACAAACCATCCATTTCTGCAATAAAGTTACTCCAGCGTGTCGGTACTGTATACCATGAATATAGTAATATTAATGATTTAAGACTTCGTGTGAGATCAGGTGCACTGAGGAGAAGAAAGAATGCTGAGAGGCATCAAGCATCTTGGTAGAGGAAGAACACCACTAAACGAGAGAGTGAGCGAGACTTGTGGGCCTCAGTAACACACGCTGTCAAAATTAAAAATCTCTGCTTTAGAAAGATATTTTCTTCAGAAGGCTTGTTTTGCTTATTTTGTCTTTGTCCAAATAACTGAGAAGTGAATACAGACCCATAGCTCATTGTCTCTCGGTCAGGACTCCAGCATCATCATTAAGCTCATTATAAAAAACCTCGTAGCTCCTTATTAACACAGTTGATCAGAGTTACTATCTAATTCTACATAAAGTATTCTACGTGTCAATTTTCACGGGATTTTTTCGAAACACTGCATTAATGAAAAAAAACTCATCAACATTCTCCGACTGGACAAATATTTGAAATGAATATTGTTTGCCGATGTGTTTCAATATCTGTGTAGACCATATCAGGAGTGGTGGGAATGTCTCGCTTGAAAACTGCACCAGACGTCGAGTATCGAGAAAACGTTACCAGCTATCAGAAAACTTTTTTATACAGACTCAGTGAAGTTATAACTGATATGGCGCCCACTGGTCTCAGTACACATGCTCAGCAGAGGCGTAACTAATGTAGCACCTAGTAGTGGCAGGGAACTGATACCCTGTTTTATTGGACGGTCCTGTGTGCTGTGGTGTTGATTATGTGGGTTGAGCAAGGGATGGTATTCCATGTGAGTGTGGGTATTCATGGACCCCCTCATTGGTAATCATGTCTCATGGAGACTGACACGACTTTTCCCAAACCTCCACCGGTGAATCACTTTTCCCCCAACCCCCAGCATTAGTGATGTCACTTTCCCCAGACTCCCAACATCAGTGATGTCACTTTCCCTGTACTCCCAGCTACTTCATTGGAACTCCGAGCATTAGTGAGGTCACTTTCTTCAAACTCCCATCTTGAACGATTCCTAAATCAGCCAGCGAGGAGTCGTGACGTCATACATGAGTGTGGAATGGTTTTGGTAATAACTTAGAGAAACTAAAGGGAAAAGTGAAGGAGAGGAATCCAAAAACTAAAACATCACTAATAATAGATTCTGACGTAAGCAGCATCAGGTTTACGGTAGTTTGCACAGCAGCAGCAGCAGGTTTACAGTAGTGTGCACAGCAGCAAGTTTATAGTAGTGTGCACAGCAGCAGGTTTACAGTAGTATGCACAGCAGCAGGTTTACAATGGTGTGCACAACAGCAGGTTTACAGTAGTGTGCACAGCAGCAGCAGCAGCAGCAGCAGCATCAAGCATACAGCAGTGTACACAACAGCAGCAGCATCAGGTTTACAGTAGTGTACACAGCAGCAGCTGTTGTAGAGTGGTGTGAGGAGCAGCAGCAGATGTAGAATGGTGTAAACAACAACTGGTGTAGCGGTGTTGATGAGCAGCAACAGTAGCAACTGGTATAGAATTGTGTAAACAAAAACTGGTGTAATGGTGTGGACAGCAACAGCATCAGGTTACGGAATCTACGATTCCTTAATCCTTCGTAATTAGTAATGACCTCAACACCTTACACTCCTTCATGATTACTTCTACCCCCTCTCTTTCCATCCCTGAATAATTTAGCACTGCAGCTGGAGGGAGATGTGTACTTACACAGATGTTCATCAGGGGCTCAACCAGAACCCAGCAGCACATCCCACTAAAATTTACCTTAACCTCAAGAAGTAGTTTTAACGACAAACAGCAGTTTACTCATGATCAACTACCCCATAGCAAAGACCCAACACGTACATTTAACAAGGCAAACAGCTAATAATTTTTATGGCTTTAACACAGGAATGTTTGTGCATTAGCTGCAAGAGTGTGTATTAATGAAATATACTAACATCTTCCCTACAACTTGGCACAGTGAGCACAACACATGACTGGTTCATTTAGACTGTGACCAAAGTCATAGAGACTGAAGTCAGTAACTGGTTTCATATGAACCATGGCACCTCACTGTTGATATACCGTGGTCAGCGAGTAGCTAACACGATCTTTCGTATATAATGTTGACGTTGGAGGGCATTGTGAGCGCTGGGCGGGGCCTACATAAGGCATTGTTGCCTGGTGGAAAGAGCTTATCTGGCAACACTGATTGGTGGGCAGGGTTTACACCAGTGTTGGCTGGTGGGCGGAGCTTACTTAGCAACACTGGTTGGTGGGTGGAAGAAGATTGCCTGGCAGCACTGGCTGGTGAGGATTTACACCTGGCAGTGTTGACCAATGGGCAGGGCTCATAATCTGCAGTATAGCTTTTAAGAAGTCGCTCAGCAAATCTGCTGAGGAGGGCAGCAAAGGCTAGTAGGCAAAGCTCGCCTGGCAGCTCTGGATGGCAGGATGTCTGGCAGTGCTGGCTGGTGGGCGGTGCTTACATCCGGCAGCTTTCTGGGAGCTGAGGCTTACACCAAGCAAAGCTGGCTAGAGGTTAGAGCTCGCCTGGCAGTGCTGGCTGGTGGTTAGAGCTCGCCTGGCAGTGCTGGCTGGTGGTTAGAGCTCGCCTGGCAGTGCTGGCCGGTAGGCAGGGCTCGCCTGGCAGCGTTAACTTGTGGACGGGGATTGCATCTGGCAACGGTAGTGGGGCTTTCACCTAGCATCGGTGGCTGGTGGGCGGGGCTTGTACTGACAGCTCCGGCTGGTGGGCGGGGCTTGTACTGACAGCTCCGGCTGGTGGGCGAGGCTTGTACTGACAACGCTGACTAGTGGGCGGGGTTTGTACTGACAGCTCCGGCTGGTGGGCAGGGCTTGTACTGACAGCGCTGGCTAGTGGGCGGGGCTTATGCTGGCAGGACTGGCTGGTGGGCGGGGTTTTTTTTTTTTTACCGGCAGCACTGGCTGGTGGGCGGGCGGGCGGGCTCTCCGGCAGCGCTCACACACGCCCTCAACAAACACAGCTTCTAGCCATGTTGTGTTCATTCAAGAATTCAGCGGATTTTTCAACTAGAGATGTAACATAGTCATGAATATTAGTTAGCATGATAAGTAGCCAATGCATATACATGTTGTAATCTTTATCTTCCAAGGCATTAAGTTCTAGCAATTAAAATACACAAGCTTTCGCCACAACCGCTGCCCCAACAATATACTGTATATATTCTTACGATCTATATAACCCAGTGAACAAGACTATATAGAGATATATATACAGTTATAAAGTTGAAACGGCAAGAGAGAAGTGAGGCAGCAGGTCCACCTTGCCAGCACTACATTCCTTGTGTTATGGTAGGGTCCTCAGCGCGATGGAAGAGTGAAGCGAAGAACAGAAGGCCAGGCATTCGTCACACTGCAGCAGGCCAGGGTGAGTTGGGCACCCAGGCCCCGCTCCACTGACTTGTGTGGCACTCTCCCTCTAGCTAGTGTGGCATTCTTATACTTTGTATGGTTCTAGCCAAACAGCATGCATGTTTGGTTCTGGCCATGTAGAACAGGCGTGTTTGTAGCGCTGTCCCTGTAAAGTGTGTGTGTGTGTGTGTGTGTGTGTGTGTGTGTGTGTGTGTGTGTGTGTGTGTGTGTGTGTGTGTGTGTGTGTGTGTGTGTGTCTGTCTGTCTGTCTGTGTGTGTGTGTGTCTGTGTGGCGCGCGGCGCTCCGTTCCACAAGATTGCCATGGCATCTACCATGTAGGGCATGAATGGCATGCTGCTGGCAGCAAGAGATATAACAAGGTATATAATCCATGATGTGACAGCAGGAGGTATACAATCCATACTGACAGTAAGAGGTATATAATCCATACTGACAGCAAGAGGTATATAACCCATGCTGCTAATGACAAGAGGTATATAATCCATATTGTGACAGCAAGAGGTATATAATCCATGCTGCTGACAGCAAGAGGTATATAATCCCTGCTGCTGACAACAAGGGTTGTATAATCCATGCTTCTGACAGCAAGGACATATAATCCATGCTGCTGACAGCAAGAGCATGTAATCCATACTGCTGACAGCAAGGGCATATAATCCATACTGCTGACAGCAAGGGCATATAATCCATACTGCTGACAGGAAGGGCATATAATCCATGCTGCTGACAGCAAGGGGTATATAATGCATTCTGCTGACAAG